TTTTGCCTCTCAAGATATTTTTGTCCAGCAGCGTCAAGGCACCTGCAGTGCTGCTGGGACTGTTAACAAGCGTGTTTGTGCATCGCCTCCGTCATGTTATTTGCACGGTGGAATGTGAAGACGCAACTCGAAATATCTCTAAGATCTGGCCTTTTATCTCAGGAAGCACAAGACATTGTTTGCAGTTTGGCCTCTGGAATGAAATTAGCTCAGCGCGTTGGCTCGCTCCTGCTTAGCGTGAGCATTTTCGCAAAGCTCCTGAGTCCCTTGAATCCTTTTGATCATTTGCAGTGTGTATTTTTACACAGGTTCTTTTACTTTGAAGAAATAAAGTAAAGAAACTGAAAGGTGAGCTTGGCAAGGGCACCCTCTGCACTGTTTGTCAATGCAAATTGGGCCTAAACTTGAACGATAGTTTCCTTTAAATGGCTGTCTCTTTACGAATAGTGTCTATAGCAATCCTGGCTAGAATTGTTTACAGGGGGGTAAAAATCTTTCCTGGCCCAGCAAGATGGCTCACTGGGTAAAAGAGCTTGCCGTAAAAACATGGTGACCTGAGTTTGATCCCTGGAGCCCATGTAAAGGTGGGAGGAGAGAACCAACTCCACAAAGTGGTCATCTGGCCTCCACCTCCACACATAATAATAAATAAAAAATTTTTAAATTTCTTTCTGACCCCATATTGCTATCATAAAATAAGAGGCTAATATTTGTTGACAGCTTGGGTGTCTATTACCACACTGGTGTGATTTCCCATCTGGGCCATTGCCTGAGTGGAATTTACTCTCCTGGAGATTTCGGGTCCCTCCACTCCAAAATCTTGACATGGGGTCATTGGATGGGTATAAGTATCATCTCCAATTGAAACCTGGTTGGCTTGTGACTAGATCCTGCCACTTCCTATCTGTGTGATAGTGCGTGAGGAAACTTGTGGACAGACCTTGTCTGTAAAGGCGACCTGTCTTGAACCACTGTGTGTGTGTGTGTGTGTGTATGTGTGTGTAATATTGCTGTAGCAACATTTGTACCCATGTTCATAGAAACATTATTCATAGTGGCTAAAAGGCAGAGGCAACTCAAGTGTTCATTGATGTATGAACAGATAGACAAAACATGGTACACTTATTTAAGCACATGTGGGCATGCATATTCACACACACACACACACACACACACACACACACTCCAGGGACTTAAGAGGAAGGACATTCTGGCACTTGTTAGGACATGATGGACCTTGAAATGAAACAGGCCAGCCACAAAAAGCCACATACTATATGGTTCCTGTATAACACTTTCAGTAGACAGACTGTTAGAGACAAAAAGTAGGACAGGCATGGCAAGGGCTCGGGGGAGGACAGACAGGGAGCTGGTGTTGGGCGGGTAGTCTCAGTTTTTCAAGATGAAGCGTTTTGGAAACAAGCATGGTGACTGGCACACAGCAGTGAACAAGCTCAATGCCACTAGTCTGTGTGCACAGAGGGCAGCATTCAAATAGTAAGTTTTCCGTTCTAGGTAGTACATCAAAATTGAAAAAAAAAAGGTCAAAAGTGACTGTGAGCATTATATGTCATCAAGTAGGCAAAGTGCCTGCCATCGTGTGGGTGAGAGTAGCCAGATTAGCAGCCTCTGGGTTTGGTTCCAAGACCCTGCCCAGTAATATGGAAGAGTAATCAAGGATGATTCTCAGCATCAACCGGGGCCTCCAAACAGCCCTGTATGTAGGTGCACCCATATACATGTCTGCCCACACATACCAATACAGACACTGACACAGACACACAGACACACACACACATCACATAAAAGTGGAAAAACAATAATTATAAAGTCTGCTGAGATGCTAAGTTCAATGACTGGTATTTGAATTGAAATTGTATGAACTGACCAGTTAGTAGTTAAACTCTAATCACCAATTAATAGCTCAATATAAAAAGAACATGACAAAAGTTTGAGCAAAGTAAAACCCAAATTGACTAATAAACATGAAATTTATTTTCATTTCACTAATAAACTCACTCCAGATGAAACAGTAGGATTTTCTCTTCCAGCTACAAATTGCTAAGGATTAAAAGCTCTGTAATAGTGGTACAACTGGCCCTCATGCTGCCCCTGGGGAGGAAAAACGGGGTCAGCTTTCCTGAAGAGAAGTTTGGCACTAGGCACCAAGAAATCTTTCAATGTTTATACATGTTGATTTAGAAATTCCACTTACACAACTATGGCTTGAGGCAGCCTCCGAAGTGTGGGAAAATATTTACATTCATGGATAAAAATAAGATTCAGTGTAAGTGCCCAACGACCAGGAATGACTGAATAAGTAATCGGACAACCATCTGATAGAGTGTTATGTAGTCGTTATAAGTAGCATTTCCTGGGCATTTCAGTGCAATGGAGGAATACAATATACCAGGGAGTGGGAGAAGCATGCTGTAATGACGACACCTGAGCACACCCCGTGTGCGGGGGGTGTGTTTGTACATGCTTGCTCACAAGTGGATGCTATACGTCTGGAAAGAGATGAATTAAAATATTTGTGGTGCTTATGTGGCAATAGTATGGGTGATTTTGCTTTCTCTTTTTTGATGCTGCTCCCACATTTCGTGCGTTTTCTCAGCTTAGCATTGTCTACGAACATCACTTCTATAACCAAAAGGAAATGATGTACAGGTGGAGAAAGATTAGAAAATGAGAGATTTCTTTTTCTGAGCTCGGGTCCCTGAAATTCACCTTACTGGTTCTGCTTAGATGCATTGAGTGGACCCTGGCCAGGGAGACAAAAGGTATATTGTTTTAGGTTATGGCACAAAAATTCACTAGCTGTGTGGCCTTGGGTGACTCTGACTTATTTGTATCTCGGCTCTCTGGCTTGTAGAATGGAGCTTCCATCCTCTTTGCCTCCAGCATCAGACACTTAATGAGAATGAAAGTGAGAAAACCAACATGTGACAAGGACTTTGACCAAGGAATGCTTGAGTTAGGGTTCTCCCCAAACCCTCGTGGTTGAACATATGTGAGAGGATATCAGAATTCACTGAAAACTGTTGTGTTCACGGTCAGGATTTATTATGGGGACAGAACACAGTTCGCGGAGTACAGTGTCTGGGAGGGTTCTGTGGGCTCCTGAACTCCCCGGAGGAGTTGGGTTCTGTTAACCTTTGGCACCCATGCGTGACAGTGCACAAAGGTGTTGCTCACCACTGAAACTCTCCTAAACCTCAGTGTCGGCATGGTCGATGGAGTGATTGGAATCGGTCTTCAGGCTGGCTGATGGCATGCCACCAAAGCTTCCTTTCACATGGTTGGTTCTTTCTGCACGGCCAATCCCATCCCAAGACTGTTGTGTATTGCTGGCCCTGCCCAAAATTAATGTAGGCAGCCCCATTTCTATTGAATATCTATAGATTCTCTCCTAGAAGCCAGGGACAATGGCAAGATTTCTCTTCCAGCAAGGCCAGATTCTTTATGATACCTAAGGTGACTGAGAAGAGATGGAAGTCAGACTTAAGTACAGAGATGGCCCCAGTCTAGAGACGACTGTGCAGTAAGGAAGGACATGAACCTCACAGTTATAAGAGGTGCTGCCTCTTCCCCATCCAAGACTTCAGGACCACCTGTGAGAATAAGCCCACTTGCAGTGGACCCTGCAAAAGATACACTCTGCAATTGATATTCATCATAAAGAGGAATTGGGCTGAGAAAACATGGCCCCCTGGGTGTTTACTCTAGCCTTTGCCTCAGTGTTCAGAGCACACTAACTCATTTATGTAATGGGAACAGTTCTCAGTCTGTTTCTACAGATTTCTCTCTCTGGCACCACCCTGCTCTGTACCACAACTGAGTCTACTCCATACAACAGAGGGTGATTGGCTCAGTTTGCAGTTTCCAGTCCTGAACTCTGTGTCAGCTTGACTCTAGAAGATTCCCTAAGCGTGGCATTCAGGGGTGGGGAACTAGAGAGATGACTCAGCAGTTAAGAGCATGTACTGCTCTTGTAGAGGACCCCAGTTCAGTTCCTAGCACCCAGGTCCAGCACCTCACAACTGTCCATAACCCCAGTTTAGGGAATTCAATTCAGTGCCTCTGGCCTCAGAGAGTACCTGCATTCACATAAACACACACACACACACACACACACACACACATACACACACACACACACACACATACACACACACACACACACACATACACACACACACACACACACATACACACACACACACACACACATACACACACACACACACACACATACACACACACACACACACACATACACACACACACACACACACATACACACACACACACACACACACACACACACACTTAAAAGTAAATAAATAAGTAAAGTTTAAAAATTAAATGGGATTAGAAAAATGAGTATGTGGGCTGTGGAGATGGGTCAGCAGTAAAAGCACGTACTGAGTAAGCCTGAGGACTGGAGTTCAGATTCCCAGAAACCCACAGAAATACTGCATGCATGTAGTGGCTCACCTATGATCCCAGCTTAGGAAGGCAGAGACGGGATCCCCAGAGCAGGCTGGGTACCAAGACTGGAAAGAAAAGAGAGCAAGGATGACTCCTGACATCAACCTCAAGTCTCTGTGCATGTGCACACATGGGCATGCGCACCCACTTACATGCACTCACATACATGCAAAAGCATGCACACACATATTCATCACATACACAAACACACACACACATGGGAAAACAAGGTGAAAAGAAAGAAAAATGAAAATGTAAGTCAGTTTCTCATTGAGAGCACACAGAAGTCTTCAGTGCAGGAATCTTGGGGTGGGTGGTAGGGAAGTAACTGCTTTTATGTGACAGACTGGAGAGAGACCATCAGCTGAAGTTCAGTTACACTTGTGCCCTTCCATCAGAGGGAAGAGCTCGGCCTCTATCTGCTGGGTCCTTTTACTGAGCACCAGTAACTTGCAGTGAATTGATGTTATCAGTAAAATTGGGTTGTATGTTCTGTTTCTCTCCAGGAAAAACTGGGCATGCAGAAGTCGTCCGGGTTGTGTACCAGCCAGCACACATCAGCTTTGAGGAACTGCTCAGGGTCTTCTGGGAGAATCACGACCCGACCCAAGGTAGAGTGATGAGTGAGCCAGTATTTAATTATCTTACTAATTACAGCTGGGATAATTAGTGTTTCAGCTGCATGGAAGAGATGAACCTTGAAATCACACAGGAGCTCAAGAATATGACTGCAGACATTTATTGACGGAGAAAGGGGGGCACCGGGGAGGAGAGGGGTGAGAGAATAAAGGCACAGCCACCGTTGGTGCCCCTCCCCCCTTACAGCTGTCAGCGATGGGAAAATTCCCACAGAGAAAGACTCCAGACAATGGAGATCCATTCACCTTTGATTATTGCATTATTCTTGCTTAATGCAGTCTTTTGTCTCCAAAATTAAAGTGTCTTTCCAGCCACTCCAAAGTTTTCCTGATTTATGGTTCCTTTATTTTTCTGAGTTCAGCCTTTCTCATCTTTTGACGTTATCAGGTTTGCTTTTTAAGAAATGTCTATAGGTGATTACAGGGGAAAAAAGAAAGAAAAACATGATAAAGTGTAGTGTTCCATAGTCCACAATGCTTGGGCCATTTAAATATTTCATTGTTACCTTAGAATTTGTTACATGAGGATATTAGTATCTCTGGACTATAAACAATGGTGGTCAGAAACTTTAGTTGAATATCTGTGTAAGCAGAAAGTCCCACGTTGGCCAATATCGTAATATGCAATAGTGAGTCAAGTTCCCCACTCCATCCTAACAGCCTTGCCAGCGTGGCTTTATCAATACCATGATCTGAGACTGTGAAGCTTCTGAAATGGAAAGGACTCTGTGATGGATGCTTTCATTCAGCCTCAGTCTGCTTAAGGAAACTGTTTTCCCTTTGCGATTGTCCATCACAGGTTTGCTGTATTGATGATCTTTTAACGATTGGGATGTCCTGCCCAGATATGTTTGTGCTTGTGATCGAATCTCAATATGACCCCAGCAGAGCAGATTGGTAGGTCCTAACTGCTGGCCCCCTAACCCCCAGACCATCCACTGTCAGGATCATTTGCAAAGAGCAAAGGTCGATGTGAAGGCCAAGAACAGCAGACAGAGCTGGGGTAGGATCAGGCATATCCACCAGTTGATGAAGGCTAAGATCTGGCAGAGTTGTCATGGCAGCATCTGGTTTTGCATGGTGGTGGGTTCATGGTGGGAGAGGCCTGGTGTATGAGGGTAGGTCAAGGACTGCGAGGACAAGAGCCCTGTGACCAGAAGGTGCAGGATCACCATAGTTTGGACCACAGGGCTGTGTAACACAAGGGGAAGGCCATCCAGACGATGTGGACAGGAGGTGGGCTGGTGCTTATTATAATATAACAGAGTGCTCTGGCCAGGAGTTCATGCTGCTAAGTCTCCCAACAGAGAGGGCAGACATTCAGCCATGTGCCTGCCAAAGCTAAGCATCAGGGTAGAGTACTGAGAGCTCCCACACTTTCATGGGAGACCTACATCAGGAGCCCAGAGAAGCCCGAGGCCAGGGTCCCCTTAGGCTGGACCTATATAGCCTGTAACTAGGTGAATATAATTTCCTGTCCCTGAAGGGCCTCATGAGGCTTCGCACAGCAGCATCTCAGACGTGGCTGAGTATCTTTACCTCTCTCAAGGTCTAACCTGTTTCACGTGTCTTCATCAGCAAGTTTAGGTGAACAGGTTGCAAGTACCTGCCCCTCAACCTCAGAGAGAATTTCCCCTTAGAAAGGACCTTGAAGATGCTTTATTTCTCCTCAACACATGCACTACAGTTGTGTTCACTCAGTCACCTCTTTGAGTTCTTGGTTTACTGCCTATGTCACTTTCCTAGAGCCCTATAACAAAGTGCCACCAAATAGGTGGCTTCGAAAGCAGACATTTATTTCTTCCCCACTCAGGAGTCTCCTTGACCTACAAGTCCAAGGTCAGGGTATAGCGGCCTCGCCCCTTGACTTGCTAATGACCATCTCTCTGTGTCCTCACATAGTCTTCCATCAGTGTCTGTCTTCTTACTAGGACTTCAGTGCTATTGGATTAGACCCACCCTAGTGAGCCTGTTGTACCTTAAATTACCTCTTTAGAAACTTTTTATCAAGCTACAAAGGCCGTCACATATAGTACCGAGGCTGAGACTTCAACTTATAAAAGGAGGAAAGATGCACCATTGAGCCCACAGCACCATCCACTAATGCGGTAGCTTCACATGCTGTTCTTCCAGAGATGTTTTGAATGGTGTTCCCAGAGTTATAACCCAGAAGTTATCTTAGTGCTCATCCAGGTGAACAGCATGGACTGGAGCCTTTTACCGCACCTCCCATGTTATAAACGGAATTACTTTGGGGATAGCTCAATGCACAGACCATGATAACAGTCAGTCTCTACCGCCCCACCCCAGGAACTGTCTAGATACCAGGTCAGATCACTGACCTAGGTGGTGGCTTTATAACTTAGGTCTGGCCGTTTAAGGATCTTGTCCAGTTGCTGTTGTTTGACCCAGGGAATGGGGCATGTGACTCAGCAGAGGGGGTTAGAGTCATTCTCTGGGCTGCTACAGGAAAAGAAAGGGTTTCTCCTGTTTCTGGGGTGTCAAGGCTAAGGTGCTCTGAGTGTGGGAAGGCTTGCCCATGGGGGAAGGGGGCAGATGAACAGAGACATTGAGAGATGAGAGACCCGTCAGGAGACTCTGGGGGACCTGAGACCCCCCCCTCCTTCCTGCAGCTAGCCTTCAACTCTGGCATCTGTCCTGTGGCTTCCTAAGCTCTGAGAGGGGCCACACGCTCCCTTTGCTCTTTCTTAGACTATTAAATTTGGGTTACTTGCAACCACAAAAACCCTAGCCCATCCATTCATCCAGCTTAATCTCTGTGCTTAGATCAGGGACTATTACTCAAGCTCCTTTGGCTTCATACATCGTAGGCCCAAGCCATTTGGTTAATTGTCCCACCATGACTTAAGCAGTGTTTCTTCAAGACTGGCTGGCTTGATGTCAAGGTCTCCTTGGTGAGTCAGAATTCATCACTGGCATTTAGGAATTAGGATATGTGGCCTGAAAACATGTGAGACTCTCTTCTCACTTTTTCTGACTGCTGTGCAGGGCAGCCATGCCTCCAGGACTTTGATCTGTCTCCTCTGTTTGCTGGCACACCATGCTGTGATGCAACTTCACCAAATGGTCTGACTGGACAGGAGGATCTAGCCTCTGGAATATTGGGAAATACGTTTTCATATGGAAATAGATTTCAGAGCACATCAAGTGAGAATAGAGATAAATGCGCTTAAGACCATATATAACCCGAACAGGACAGCAGGAGCCCTGGAGAAATCCAGGTCGAAACACAAGTTCAAAAGGGACCCCTGCAGCTTCAAAGACTGTGGTAACGTGTGGTTTTTCAAAGGTCAGAATGTGAAGCCCTTTTCCTGGAGGACAGGCAGTAACAGGAGAAATCTAGGCTGTGAGTGAAGTCAGCTGCCGCTGGTCTTCATGTCTGCTAATGAAATGGCCCTCCAAAGAAAGCTGCTGGGGTGGGGTGCAGATGAGGGTGGTGAAGGCACAGGAGATGGCTTCCTCATGTGGAAGGTGGAGGTTTCAGCAGTATGATGGGCGTGGGCTCCTCCGAGCTGTGAAGCAATAGCCTCTTCAGGTTTCCTTCCAGAAGCAAGAAGGGGGGAGTCCTGGGACTGGAGAGATGGCTCAGTGGGCAAGAGCAGAGGACCTGGGTTCGAATCCCAGCACCCATATGGCAGCTAACAACTGTCTGTAACTCCAATTTCAAGGGATCTGATGCTCTCTTTTGACCTCTGAGGAAATTACATGACACAGATGCACTTACATAATGCAGGCAATGCACTCATGCACATAAAATAAAAATAATAAATAAAATATTTTTGAAAAGAATAGGGGATTCCTAGAGCCACCGCCGAGCGCTCTTCCCTGTACCAGAGCTGCTTGTCAGGGAAAAGACAAAGCTGGAGAAGCTGAGGCCTGTCTAGCCTTCGCTGTGAGGATGGACCCCAGAAACTGGTGTTTTTCCCTAGACATACCACTCCGGAGACACAGATTGTAATTAGTATGTTTGAAGATTTGGGGACCTTCTTGATAAAATTGTTAAGAGTCTGAAGGGGCCGCTCATGTTTTGGGGTTATAGTTTGTTGCATTTTGGGGGATAAGCAGGTACTCTAGAATGATAGCTGCAAAGGTAGGGGTTTTACTAATGTCCAGGGGCTTACCATAGAAGCAGCAGCAGGAATTTAAGCTTCAAATCTCTTTTCAATTAAATCAGATCTTCACAGCACGGAGTAAGCAGGAAATCCTGTGTGTTCTTCTGTGCTTCGAATGACTGAAGCTACACTTGTGTTTTCTGCCCTCGTGGGTGGAACAAAGTCCCAGGCATGATTGTCATTTTGAAGGAAACAAAGCTGGCAAGAGATAGAAGGTGCTGGCACATCAAGACACAGTTTAGGAGCTGAGTAGATGGTGCAGTCAGTAAGGTGCGTGTCATGCAGGCATAAGGGCATGAGTTTGAATTCGCTAGTACCCATGTAAAAAGTCTGGCATGGTGTCACCTGCCTGTCATTCCAGAGCTGGGGAAGTCGGAACAGGAGTATCCCTAGAGTTCACCAGCCAGACAGTCTAGCTGAAATGGTGGCCTTCAGGCTCAGTGAGAGACCCTAGATCAAAAAATAGAGAGACGGCTCAGCGGTTAAGAGCACTGACTGCTCTTGCAGAGGACCCAATTTCGATTCCCAGCACCCACATGGCGGCTATGAACCATCCTTAACTCCAGTTCCAGGAGGAATCCAAAGCCCTCTTCTGACCTCCACAGCATTGCACGACACGGGTGCACTCACATACATACAGGTAATACACTCACAGATATAAAATAAAAATAATAAAATATTTTTAAAAATTAAGTGGAAAGTGATTGAGGATGACACCTGACTTTGACCTCTGACCACATGCACATGTCTGTGATACACCTACACACATACAGAGGTGAGGCCAGAGTCCTGTCATCCCAGTTGCTGTGAGTGAGTCCCAAGGGTTGCCACTCAGTGGTT